CATCCATCCATCCATCCATCCATCCATCCATCCATCCATCCATCCATGCATCCATCCATGCAGCTCCTCCCCTCACCCAATCCCCCCCCTCTCCTCTTCCTTCCTTTCCCCTACCTTCAGGCTCCTGACCTCTCTGAAGCTAAACTCACGCTATGCGCGCGCGCGTCTCTCCTACACACGGCAGCCGCCACTCCCTCCCGTGCACCTCCTCCCCTCACTGCAGTCTCTCTCTCTCCTATATGTTCCCTCAGACTACCTCTCCATTTCCCGCTGCTCCTCCCTCACCTCTCTCACTCTTTGGGCACCTGAATCCTCCGCTCTCTCCTCCCTCGCCTTCTCCTCCTCTTCCTCATCCTCCTCCTCCCTTGCATCCTCCCCCCCATCCCCTCTACGCACATCACTCACGTCTCTCACAATCCACTCTGCTGAACTTGAGGGCTCCCTCCCATCCCTCTCCCTCTTCCTCTCCCTCGCCTCCCTCTCCCTCCACTCCTGCACCATCGACCCATACGAACTCCGCGCTCTCTCACGCTCCCTTCACTCCCTCACCCACCTCACCATCCACTCCTGCCCACTCGTCTCTTCCCACTCTCTCGCACCCATCCTCCAAGCCAACCCTGCTCTCTCCTCCCTCTCCCTCCACGGCACCACCTACCGTCTGTTTGCCGCACAGGGCTTCCGTTCCCTTCTCTCTCACTCCTCCTCCCAGCTCCACTCCCTCCACCTCGCTGGTCTACCCTCCTTCCGCCCGGGCTTGCTTGCAGCCTGCAGCGCCCTGCGGTCGCTGAGTCTGGAAGGGGTGGTTGATTGTGTCTCAGACTCCTTATTGCCACGCGCTGTATCATTGGACGGCCTTGTGGGTATGCTCGTGCGCGTGGAACGGAGAGGGGAACGGAGAGGAGGGGAGGCAGAAGAGGAGGCAGGAGGGGATTCAAGGGAGGAGGCAGAAGGGGATGGTGGAGCAGACGTATTGGAGAAAGCACATCAGAGTGTTTCTGCTGCTGCTGCAGCAGCACGAGTATCCCCAAGAGGGAACGACAAGCAGTGGGGGGGGTACGTGGATATTCGCAGAGAGGCAGAGGCAGCGCAGGAGGATAAGCTAGCAGCAGTAGGCGATGTGGTCCGCCTTTCTCGAGTAGCCATTGAAGCCTCCAAAACCGCCCGTTCTGATGCACTCTTGGCGGCACGTGTGGAGGGTGAGGACGCCGTGCCTCGGATCGTTGCCAGCCTCGGGAAGATCAGGTTCGGGATCTCGGCGTGCCGGTCCTTCTGCGCCGGGGTACGTGAGGCCAATGCGGCGATCGAGTGGGAGGAGGCGCTGATGCAGGCGCTTGCTGCTGCTGCTGCTGCTGCTGTTGGTGTCTCTGATATGTCTACTGCTGGTAATATACCTGCTGCTGCTGCTCTCCAGGCACCAGGATTCTTTACTACGGAGCTAAATCATGAAGAAGCGGAGGACAGAAGTGGGGAGGAGACAGACACAGTAGATGGAAGCAGGGGGGTGGATAGCATGCTACCTGATGATGGCCTTCCTGAGAGTGTGCTGGGTGGGGTGCGGTCTGATGCGGTGGAGACGCGTGCAGAGGGGGTGGAGAGGCTGCAGGAGCTGATGGAGGAGCTGGGGGAGCACACTGACGCCGTGTCTGCGAGCTTCGACTCCTTGCGCCCTCTCACCCCCACTTTTGCTCGGTCAGTGGTGGACGCAGCAGCAGCAGGAGGTGGGGCATCAACATCAGGAGGAGGAGGGGCAGCAGCAGGAGGAGGAGCAGATGGAGCAGCAGCGCCTCATGCGGGGCCGGCAGTGCGTGAGGGAATAGCAGCAGTTTCAGGAGTGAGAGGAGGGGAGGAAGCATCGCAGCAGGTGGAAAACACGCCAGAAGACAGAGGGCTGGGAGTGGGGGCAGCAGGGAAAGCGCCAGCAGGGGATGCAAATCTAAGCAGCGGAAAGTCAAGCTTCAAGCATTCTGAAGGGAGCAAAGCAGCAGCAGCAGTCCTCGTGCAAGTGTTCTGCCCTCCTCTGGAGTCTCTGACCCTCCGATCCCTCCGCTTCGCCTCCCCGCCCCTTGTCCCCTGGCTGCCTCCCTCCCTTTCTTCCGAGTCTCCCCGCATGTACCTCTCCTCCTCCCCCGCCTCACCACCGTCCTCTTCATGTCACTCATCCTCCTCCTCTTCCCGCTCCTCCTCTTCCCGCTCCTCCTCTTCCCTCGCCTCCACATCTTCCCGCTCCTCCTCTGCCCTATGCCCAGGGTACCACCCAATGTCCTTTGAGTCTCTTGCCCGGGCTGCAGCATTCAGGCACCTCAAGCTGCTCGCCCTGGTGTGCTGCGTGGGGTTGAAGGAGCAGGACTGGCTGGAACTCCTCGGAGCATGCTCCAAGTTGGAGGAGCTAAGGGTCGTGCAAAATAGTGAATTTTCAGATGCAGTGGTGGTGGGAAGCAGACTCAAAAAGCTCGCTAGTCTGACGCTGCTCGAGTGTGTTAAGATTACGGCAAGCGGCATTGGAGATGTTCTTGGAAGCTTCCCTAGGCTGCGGTACTTGAAGGTAGAAGTGGGGAAGGTTTTGGCAAGGGCTCGAAGAGAGTTGCTTCGTGCTGGTGTGGTTGTGAGGGGTGTGGGAGTGTGACATCAATGACAGAGGTGTGTACGTATCAAGTTTGCTTCTGGGAACAATAACACCATTCACTTTTATCATGTATATAATGTAAATACTATGTCACGTGTGTTGTCGCAACTGATAGTAGACTGATCTCGTGATGAAGGGGTGCCTGAAGAAGATTACTGGGCGCTAAGGGGTTGGGATGGGATGGGATGGGTACCTTGTTAGAGAGGTGAATCCCAGCGGTAAGAGGGTGAGGATGGGTACCTTGTTAGAGAGGTGAATCCCAGCGGTAAGAGGGTGAGGATGGGTACCTTACGGCGCAGAAATTTGACATCTGGTTCTATACGCTTTCATAGAGTTCCAGATGTTTTCACTATGGTGAATCGAACTGACATCTCGCCGCTAGATTTCGTTTGGTTTCAGTTCAATTCACACACCTCTCGGTTCTGCTCGGTTCGAATTCTTGGCTCTGCAGTTCCACCAATCAAAGCGTGCCCCAGCTTCCCATCCCAGCCTCCACTAACGAAACTCTCTCTGTGTTTGAAAAAGAAAGGGTAATTACCTTCTGGGTAACTCACATCGAGCCCGCTGACGTCAAAAGTCACCTACGTGGCTCGATGGTACCCGTCAGATCACGCGCGCCCCTTCGTGGTACCCATCTTCCCTCCGTGGTACCCATCTTCCCTGCGTGGTACCCATCAACTGTGTGCGAATTCCCTGACTGGTACCGCAACATTTCAACCGAGCTGTACACCGTACACCAAGGGTTTCAATGCGTTTTTCAGTATATTGTCTTAACGTTTACAAGCTCAATAGAGTCAGAAGCCCGAAGTGCCACCTAATCGAGTCAATTTATCACACGCATTACCTATAATAGAGTGTAGAAGAAAAGCTGGATTCTTAAATAAAAAACATTCATTGTGTAGATTTGTCTAGGCTAAGAAACATCGACAATATAACGTGCTATAAGATAACGTAAAACTGATATATTGCATCAACCGAAAAAAAACATCCGTATAGCAAACAATCAACTTACACGTTAAGTATATATTGACTTAAGGTACATTTAATTTTCATTATGGGTATTGTTTTGTTTCCAAAAACCAACGAATGTACGTATTATTTGTTTATGATTTTATGTTTAGCTTTGGGGGTGCATGCTCAATTTATTTGCATACAACCTTATAAAGTTTGTTCAAATAACCGACTGAGCGCTGCGAAACATGGTCGCAAGATTCACTCTACCTATCGTTCAGTGGTGTGAGCTTACGAAGGTTCGGAGTTAATGTGAGGATTTTAGAAGATGAGTTGATTTCTTTCTATGTTGCACTCTGTCCAGTGTAAGGCACGTTCAAACATTTATGTTCAAGGGTATTAATGTTCAATTAGAGTGTGTAAACGTTGTTATAATACGCATTGAAACCCTTGTTGTACTGAAAAACGCATTGAAACCCTTGTTGTACAGTGTACAGCTCAGTTTAAATGTTGCGGTACCAGTCAGGGAATTCGCGCACAGTTGATGGGTACCACGCAGGGAAGATGGGTACCACGGAGGGAAGATGGGTACCACGAAGGGGCGCGCATGATCTGACGGGTACCATCGAGCCACGTAGGTGACTTTTGACGTCAGCGGCTTCGATGTTGGTTACCCAGAAGGTAATTACCCAAAAAGAAAGCCCAGAATTCTACGCAACGGATCACGAACCGCAAGGCACGCATCAGAAACTGCACGAGACACATCACTCCCGATTGACACAGCCGTCCCAGTCTCATGCGCAGCTCACGCACATCGCAAACGCGTCATCGCCATCCGTCAACGGTAGTATTTCTGTCCACCTCCCATCACAAGAGTGCTCCTCGTTGTGGAGTCTGTCGCCCCGCTCGCAACCGCCTGATTATTGACCTACTCTGGACTCTTTTCTCTCGCCCCGACGATTGTTTTCGGTCTCATAGGTCATCTGATCGCTGTAGTAAAGTCTTCTTAGACGTGCCATTAAGACGCCCTTTGAGGTTGCATACGTTTCCAGGTGGAGTAGTTTGAGTTCACAGGAGGCATTAGCTAAGTAAACTATAAGTACTAATTTTACCTTGTTCTCTTGCGATGGCGAAAAGAAGCGATTGCCCCAGCAACAGCAGGCTGCTATCTCTCCCCGACGAGCTCCTGCAAATCATTCTCGGCCTCGCAGATCACCCATCCGATCGCTGCAGCGTCGCGCTCTCCTGCTCCCGCCTCCGCCACCTCTCGCGGCGCACGCCGCACGCGCTCCGCCTCGACTACTTCTCGTGCCGAAGATTTGTGAATGTGCGACATTGGCTGAAAGCGCTTGACGATTATTCAAGGATATTTACCCACATAAAGGATCTGACATTGGAGATTTCATCCGGGCTCGGGAATCAGCTGATGGCGGGGATCGCAGCGAGCTGCCCGAAATTGGAAAAACTGAAATTAGAGACGGGTTGGACTGGCTTCAACGTCAACGGTCGAGTGTGGCGAAAGATCGCGAAGCACTGCCCGTAAGTAGTCGTTTTCCGTATCCACATCCATCCATCCATCATGCATGCACGCGTGCAATCTTTCCATCCATCCATCCGTCCGTCCGTCCGTCCGTCCGTCCATCGATCCCTAACTCCCGTGGATTGTAAGAGAAAGAGTTCTCCTCAGTCTCTTCACCTCGTCCTCTTCACCCCTCCCTCTTCACCCCTCCTTTTGCCAACCTCCCCCTCAACCTCTCGACCCCCGCCCCTTCCCCCATCATTCAGGCTCTTGACCTCCCTCGAGCTAAACTCGCGCCGTGCGCGCTCGCGTCTCTCCTACACAGGGAAGCCGCCACTCCCCCCCGTGCACCTCCTCCCTTCACTGCAGTCCCTCAAACTGCTCTGCATTCCCTCGGACTTACTCTACATTTCCCGCTGCTCCTCCCTCACCTCTCTCACCCTCTGCGCCCCTGATTCTTCCGAGCTTTCCTCCCTTGCATTCACCTCCTCCTCCCTTGTCTCCTCCTCCTCGTCCCGCTCTTCCCGTGCTTCCTTCTCCTCACCTGCCCTCCCCACTCCCCCCTCCCTGCTCGCGTCCTCCCCCCCATCCCCTCTCCGCACGTCTCTCACATCTCTCACCATCCACTCCGCCGATCTGCAGGGCTCCCTCGCTTCCCTCGCCTTCTTCCCTTCCCTCTCCTCCCTCTCCCTCCACTCCTGCACCATCGACCCATACGAGCTCCGCTCCCTCTCGCGCTCCCTCCACTCCCTCACCCACCTCACAATCCACTCCTCCCCACTCATTTCCACCGATTCCCTCGCCCCCATTCTCCAAGCCAATCTTTCTCTCTCCTCCCTCTCCCTCCACGGAACAACTTACCGTTTGTTCAGAGTAAAGGGCTTCCGCTCCCTCCTCTCTCGCTGCTCCTCCCAGCTCCACTCCCTCCACCTCGCTGGTCTACCCTGCTTCCGCCCGGGCATGCTTGCAGACTGCACGCACCTACGCTCGCTGAGCGTGGAAGGGGTGATAGAGTCTAAGGAGAACCTACTGCCAAACAATGTGTCTCTGGACTGCCTAGTGAGTATGCTGGTACGCGTGGAGCAGACGGGGGTTGCGGGAGGGGAGGCAGGAGGGGAGGCAGGAGGAGAGAGTGGAGCGGAAGGGTGGGAGAATGGACATGCAGGTGTTTCTGCAGCAGCAAGCGCTGCAGGTGTTTCTACAGGTAGTGGGAGCAGCAAGCGCTGCAGGAAATATGTGGATTTCTGCACAGAGGCAGCGGCGGCTCAGGCTGACAAAATTGCAGCAGCCACTGACGTAGTTGACCTTTTCAAAGCAGCCGACGAAGCCGCAAAGGCCGCCCGTTACGACGCGCACTGGGCGGCCTTCATTGTTGGCGAGAACGCTGTGCCTCGGATCGCCGCCAGCCTCGGAAAGATCAGGTCCGGGATTTCGGCGTGCCGGTCCTTCTCTGCTGGGATCAGGGCGTCCAATGCGGCTGTTGAATGGGAGGAGAAGCTGATGAGCGCATTCAATGCAAATGCTGCTGCTGATTCCAATTCAGATGCTGCTGCTGCTGCTGATTTGAATATAGATGCTGCTGCTGCTGGCTGCAATACTGCTGTTGGTCAGGCGGCAGGATTCTTCTCTACGGAGCTGAATGGTGGAGAAGAGGACGGGGATGGGGAGGCGGAAGAAGGAGATGACTTCAGGGGCATTGATGGCATGCTGCCTGATGATGGCCTGCCTGAGGGTGTGCTGGGTGGGGTGTGGTCCAGTGCGGTGGAGACACGTGAAGAGGGGTTGGGTAGGCAACGGGAGCTTCTGGAGGAACTGGAGGAGCAGTTTTCTGCCATGCCCGCCAGCTTCCAGTCGTTGCGCCAACTTAACACGGCTCTTAGAGCCACGCTGGCGCCACCAGTGGCGGATGCAGCAGCAGCAGCACAGGAAGATGTAGCAGCAGGAGCAGTGGAGGCAGCACCAGGGGAGGCAGCACTAGGGGAGGCAGCACCAGGGGAGGCAGCACTAGGGGAGGCAGCACCAGGGGAGGCAGCGGCAACACCAGGGGATGGAAAGCAGTCAGGTAGCAGAAAGTCAACAGGCAAGCGCTCTGAAGGGTGCCAGTCAGCAGTCCCTGTGCAAGTGTTCTGTCCTCGCCTGGAGTCCCTATCCCTTGAAGTGTTCTACTTCTCCACTACTCCCCACACCTGGCTGCCACCAACCCTTCCCTCTGCGCCTCCTCTGATGTATCTCTCCTCCCCCCTGCTTTCCTCTTTCCACACATCGTCCTCCTCCACCTCCTCTTGCCTCTCCCCTTCCTCTGACTCCGCTGCCCGAAGCCCAAGCGTTCAGGCAATGTCCTTTCATTCCATTGCTCGAGCTGCTGTTTTTGGACAGCTGAAGCGCCTCTCCTTGGTGTGCTGTCTAGGGTTGGAGGAGCAGGAATGGCTGAAACTACTCACTGCTTGTGTTAAGTTGGAGGAGCTAAAGGTGCAGCAAAACGACAAGTTCTCGGATGCAGTTATGGCGGGAAGCAGACTGAGTATGCTCACTAGTTTGACTGTGCTCGGGTGTCCTAAGATCACTGCAGCAGGCGTTGGAGAGGTTCTTGGAAGCTTTCCCAGGTTGCAGTATTTGAAGGTGGACGTTGGGAAGGTTGGGGAAAGGGCTCGGAGGGAGTTGCTTCGTGCTGGTGTGGTTGTGAGGTGTGTGTGAGATGCTGCCTCGAGAACAAATGTTGATGCAAATGTGGATCTGGGAGATATATTATATTCGTTCAGTTGGAGGCAAGCAAAAAAACTTGTCTACACAAAGATGCATAAAGAAGAGTTATTCTGAGGAATTATAATTTTAAATATTGGTGAAGCTACGTATAATTGCCCCAACCGTTCAAACAGAGCCCTCAAATTACCATTTAGAGGTATACTCTAGTCAAAGAACTTAGTGATTTCTCGGCTTGAACTCGAAAACAAAATTAGATGAAGCATGACACCCTCGGACGTACGCGTTAGGGGATATTTTCTGGCTGTCCCTGCCTCCCTAAGCAGCAGCCGCGCTATCCTCCGTCCCCTGAGTCCCCCTCTCCCCTTGACTCCCCAACCATCCTGTTTTCAGTCACCTCAAAAGCCAAAATACACACGGGACTCTTGACTCTTGGGAACGTCGTCCGTCCCAGAGCCCGAAGCAGAGAACCTCGAGAACTCCCCTTCCCTCATCATGCAGCCACTAAAGTTTTTCCGTGAGTTTGTGGAGAGGGAGAGTGAGTGCGTCAGGCAGGGCCATTCCAGCGCACGCGAGTTGATGGTCGACGTGGAGTCAGTCATCTGTTGCTCCGCATTGATTCCGTCATGGCTGTCGTGCAGCTTCGCTTCCGCTCGTTCAGAAGGCCCAGATCGGCTGGGTACGGTTTCTACCTCCTGGATCCAACCACGGAGGATCAAGCAACAACATCGTCTCCTAGCAGCCATCCCGACTTCGAACACAAGACAAGAAGAATCCTGCTGATCGCCGTCCTCCCTCGAAGGTTAGTTCGTTTTGACAGAAATCTCGTTCGTTCAATCTCATCCTCACGTCTGAGTCGTATCCTTCACTCTCACGTGTGCGCGAACCTGCAGGTGTACGTGACGGCGCTTTTCTTCTGAAGCGCCTTAAACGCTTTTTTTCGTAGCGGTTATTCCGGAACCGCATCATAGCAGCTTCCAGCCTCATAAGCGCTGACATCCCGTGGTGGTGCGTCGAGTTTCGCCCTGACATCAAGCCAAGGACGGACGGCTTCCCCGCAAGCCTCGAACTGCCCGATCTGCTAAGTATGAACCCCTTCTCCTAAGAAATGTCTGTTCTCGGCATAATCTGGCCATGCGTCTTCAATACATTCTTTATTCCAGTCGATTCTTTGCGTCGGCTTCCTCTTGCTTCTGCTCCTCATTTGGCTCCTTTAATCTCTCGTTTTTCCTTATCCAGCTGTAGCTTCTGGAGGCTTCCGGACTCGTTTTTTCGTGGTCAGCTTGTGATGGCGGAACACAGAGAAGGCGCCGACGATAGCAGGCTGCTATCTCTCCCCGACGAGCTCCTCAAGATCATTCTCGGCCTCGCCGATCACCCATCCGATCGCCGCAACGTCGCGCTCTCTTGCTCCCGCCTCCGCCACCTCTCGCGGCGCACCACATGCGCTCCGACTCGAGTTCCACTCCAGGTCAAGGGCTGCGAATCCGCGAGAATGGTTGAAAAAGTTCGAGGATTTTTCAGGGGTATTTACCCACGTGACGGATCTGACAGTGGAGGTCACCAGTGGTCTCGGGGACCAGCTGATTACGGTGATCGCAGCGGGCTGGCCAAAACTGGTAAAACTGAAGCTGGAGGTGTTGGCTTGGGATAGCTTCAACGTCAACGGTCCAGCGTGGCGAGATCTCGCGAAGCAATGCCCGTGAGTTGACACGTTTGTGCACCTTCTCTCCCTCAAAGCCTTTTGCCCAATGATCATGCATCCGTCACCATCCATCCATCCGTCCGTCCGTCCGTCCCACCCTCCGTCCGTCCGTCCGTCTGTCCGTCCGTCCGTCTCTATTTTCATTTATGACTTCTGACGAGACTTTACACGCCCTGAATGGAGCACCGAGCGCAAAGTTATGTGTATTCCGTCTCTTCCCTTTATCCCTCCTTTCCCCTCCCCTCCCCCCTCGCCCCTCCTCCCCCCCGCATGCAGGCTCTTGGCATCACTGGAGTTGAACTCCCCCTCTGTGCGCTCGCGTCTCTCCCAAACACAGCAGCCGCCACTCCCTCCCGTGCACCTACTCCCCTCACTACAGTCCCTCTCTCTCCTCTACGTTCCCTCCGAATTTCTCCCCATTACCCGCTGCTCCTCCCTCACCCTCCTCACCCTCTGGGGTCCTGAATCCTCCACTCTTTCTGCCCTTGCCTTCTCCTCCTCCTCCTCCCTCGTCTCCCCATCCACCTCCTCCTCCCGTGCTTCCCTCTCCTCCACTTCCTCCTCTGTTGCGTCCTCCTCCCCGTCCTCTCTCCGCACGTCCCTCTCGTTCCTCACTATTCACTCCGCCCTAACGCCAGGCTCTTTCGCACCCCTTGCCCTCTTCCCGTCCCTCTCCTCCCTCGGCCTCCCATCCTTGCGCCCGGGCTTGCTTGCAGCCTGCAGTGCCCTGCGGTCGCTCAGTCTAGAAAGGGTGGTCGATTGTGCCTCAGACTCCTTAGTGCCACGCATTGTATCATTGGACGGCCTTGTGGGTATGCTCGTGCGGGTGGAACGGAGAGGATGGGAGGCAGGAGGGGATTCAAGGGAGGAGGCAGAAGGGGATGGTGGAGCAGACGTATCGGAGAAAGCACATCAGAGTGTTTCTGCTGCAGCTTCAGCAGCACGGGTATTTCCAAGAGGGAACGACAAGCAGTGGGGGAGGTATGTGGATATTCGCAGAGAGGCAGAGGCAGCGCAGGAGGATAAGCTAGCAGCAGTAGGCGATGTGGTCCGCCTTTCTCGAGTAGCCATTGAAGCCTCCAAAACCGCGCGCTCCGATGCACTCTCAGCGGTGCGTGTGGAGAGTGAAATCTCCGTGCCTCGGATCGTTGCTAGCCTTGAGAAGATGAGGTTCGGGATCTTGGCATGCCGGTCGTGCTGCGCCGGGGTATGTGAGGCCAATGCGGTGATCAAGTGGGAGGAGGCGATTGCTGCTGCTGCTGCTGCTGCTGCTGCTGCTGCTGTTGCTGCTCCTCTCCATGTAGCAGGATTTTTTACTACGGAGCTGAATCCTGAAGAAGAGGAGGATAGGGATGGGGAGGAGACAGAAGCAGGAGATGGAAGCAGGGACATGGATGACATGTTGCGTCATGACGGCCTGCCTGAGGGTGTGCTGGGTGGGGTGCGGTCTAGTGCGGTGGAGACACGTGCAGAGGGGTTGGAGAGGCTGCGGGCGCTGATGAGCTGCGTGAACACAATGACGCCATGTCTGCGGGGTTCGATTCCATGCGCCGAGTGATGGCATCAGTGCTAGTTGGAGGTGGGGCGGCAACACCAGGAGGAGGAGATGGAGCATCAGGGGGTGGGGCAGCAGCAGGAGGTGGGGCAGCAGCAGCAGGAGGAGGAGGTGAAGCAGCAGCAGCTCTTGGGGGGGCGGCAGTGCGTGAGGGAAGAGCAGCAGTGCCAGGAGTGAGAGGAGGGGCGGCGGAAGCATCGCAGCGGGAGGAAAGCACGCTGGAAGACAAAAGGCTGGTAGAGGGGGCAGCAGGGGATGCAAAACCAAGCAGCGGAAAGTCAAGCCTCGAGCATTCTGAAGGGAGCCAAGCAGCAGTCCCCGTGGACGTGTTATGCCCTCCTCTGGAGTCCCTGACCCTTCAGTCCCTCCGCTTCGCTTCCCCGCCCCATGTCCCCTGGCTGCCTCCCTCCCTTTCTTCTGAGTCTCCCCGCATGTACCTCTCCTCTCCCGCCTCGCTACCATTCTCTTCATGTCACTCATCCTCCTCCCTCTCCGTCCCGTCCTCTTCCCTCGCCTCCTCCTCTTCCCGCTCCTCCTCTGCCCCGTGCCCAACCGGTCTCCCAATGTCCTTTGAGAACCTTGCAAGAGCTACTGTCTTCAGGCACCTCAAGCACCTCGCCTTGGTGTGCTGTGAAGGGTTGAAGGAGCACGAATGGCTGGACCTACTCAGAGCATGCTTTAAGTTGGAGGAGCTAAGGGTGTTGCAAATTAACGACATTTCAGATGCAGTGGTGGTGGGAAGCAGACTGGGAATGCTCGCTAGTTTGACTCTGGTGGAGTGCGATAAGATTACAGCAAGCGGCATTGGAGGGGTTCTTGGAAGCTTCCCTAGGTTGCGGCACTTGAAGGTAGAAGTGGGGAAGGTCTCGGAAAGGGCTCGGAGAGAGTTGCTTCGTGCTGGTGTGGTTGTGAGGGGGGCGTGACATTGGTGACAGATACGGTAGGTGCATACCGATGTCATTGTCATGGCTGCTGTTTGGCACAATATCCAGGGCTGACGATCAGGCCCCTAGATTCGTTTTGAGGTAGTCTGACGCCTCAGAGTACACCCCTCTTCCTAGTCTGGTTGTCAGAGTTACCTATTTTTTTTAGTCTGAAAATTCAGACAGGCATAATTTTTTCTGTCTGAACTATCCAAGTTACTTCAATTTCTAAGATGTTCTTGCAGTTTCATAACAGCATAGTTATAATAGCATTGAAGCTGATTACAGCCTGCTAACGCATCAGGCAACGTGCTCGTGCATCGCCACTGCTCAGGTCGGCGGCGTTCTGGTGTTTTTGTCACGTGCAGCGCATGGTTGTTTCTGCTAATCTCATTTCGTTTTGTCGTGTGTGTGATTACTGTTCTGTACCCATTTTCTCGCCTGTGTGCCAATTTTGTCAATTTTGGATTTGTGTTTCTAGCGATGTGATCGTTCACCCGATCTGTATCAGATGGGCCAAGTGCCACGCAGCTGAGCTGTCAGCAGGCAGAAACTGTTGCTTGGCGTGGCGTGTGAGCATCAGGTAGTGCCACACGAAACTTTCACTACGAATCAGGACCTTCGCAATTTCACAGGAGTGCGTGCTGCAGATGGTTTTACAGCGAATCAGCATCAAAGTCTCATATTCTTTACAATACATTAGCAATAACTTACATGTGACGAGATTTTGTCTTAAAAATCCCGTAATCACGCAACCATTTCCTCAGCGTAACTGGAAGATATTCTCGACGAACGAGTGTATTCGGATGTCCCAGCTGTTGAAGTGTGCGTTGCTCACGTCCTGGCACTTCATTGCCATCTCGGAAGTGGGCATATTGAAAGGAAACTTCCAGGAAACTTCGCTTCGATAAGCGCGCAGAGTGGACCCCCGATACAAGTCTGAGGCACAGCCTACACTTAAAAAATTAGGCTGAAATTTCAGACAACTCATAAAAAAAACCTCTAAAAAATCAGACAAGGTACGTAAAAAAATTCTTAGACTTCAGACTAGGTTAAAAAAAAAAGTCTGAACGGACTCTGAATCAGACTTTAAAGTCTGATATCTAGGGCCCTGCTGACGATTCAAATATGGGTACCCTGTTTTCGCTCCCCCAAAAAAAGATATACCCTGAAGGCACATTTTCCGCAAAACGCCTAGCCTGAGCCTTCTTGCGATGTTCAGGGTTCACGAAATCGTAAGTCTGGGCTGTCAGGGTTGGCAAATTGAAATCAGGGTTGATTTTTTTCTTCTTTCTAGTTATGCGAAAAAACAGGAACGTGTTAGACGCGAGAATTCTAGCTGGATTGGGCTGGATTGGCGGATTGGCTGGAGGGAGTGCATGTGGCAGCCGAGAATCTCCTAGGGGCGCAGGGGCGAGATCGAGGGGTGTGCAAAGGGGGAGGGAGCAAATGAGTTGGGTGGGTGGAGGCTATTTCATGACCGCGGGTCGTCCGCACAAAAGGGGGAAAAGGGGGGGAGGAAATGAGGGGACGGACTGCTAATGGGAGGGGTGTCGAGACCGAGACTCGGCCTGGTTTTGGTGGGGGTGGACGTTTTTCAATATTAGTGTGTCGTTTAGTTTCACAGTTAGCAAAAAACAGCTGATGACAAAAAACTATCAGTCACATCACATGGCAATACAATGTTTTACTACGGATGGTTTTTTTTTATCTCCTGCCGAATCACTTTGCGATCCGCCAGATCGCGATTTGTTTACAGCTAACAAAAATCAGAAACCGAATGTTGAGTCATTCTAACAGAAACTTAGTGTACTGCGTGTTGGAAACAATCGGTCTTAAGCGCCTCTGTCGTGTCGAAACACCAAGGCACAAGCGAAGCAAAGCATATCAGGGCCCTAGATATCAGACTTTGTAGTCTGATTCAGAGTCCGTTCAGACTTTTTTTTTGTACCTAGTCTGAAGTCTAAGAATATCTTTATGTACCTTGTCTGATTTTTCAGAGTTTTGCTTTATGAGTTGTCTGAAATTTCAGCCTAATTTTATTAGTGTAGGCTGAGCCTCATACTTGTATCGGGGGTGCCCCCTGAAACCCGTAATACAGCGGTTTCCGCCAGCCTGGTGGCGTGTAGCACTCACCGTCAATCACGGGCGGGAAACCAAAATTTCCCGAGCGCGGCACCGCAAACTCCCGAGCAGGGTCCTCGCTAGGTTTTGAACCCCCTTGATGCGTTAGATGGGCCCATCGGGCACACGCTTGCCCTGTCACACCACTTTTGCCCTCTATCACACCGAAGAGTCAACCTGTCAGGGCAAAAATCCGCCCTGTCAAGGAAGAGATTCGCCCTGCCTAGGGTGAAGTGCGAAGGTTCGCCTTGTACAGAGCGAAGAGATTCGCCCTGTACAGAGCGAAGTGCGAAAATTCGCCCTGTCAGGGTGAAGATTCTAACTGTCAGGGCGAAGATTCGCCCTGCCTAGGCAGAGATTTGCCTTGTCAGGGTAGAGATTCGCCTTGTCAGAGTAGAGATTCGCCTTGTCAGAGCTGTAAATCTCGTTATTCTATGTTTCAGTTTAAGACAAAACAGAAATTGTGTTTAACTCTGAACGTTCAGCGTAAAAAACGTAGTGTTGTCTGAATTTTCAGACTAGAGAAAATAGGTAACTCTGACAGCCAGACTAGGAAGAGGGGTGTACTCTGAGGCGTCAGACTACCTCAAAACGAATCTAGGGGCCTGAAGCATATCGAGGCACCAGCGAGTCAACCCTCGGAGGTTGAAGTAACTGCTGGAGGTTACGCGAAAGTCAAAGGTCAGCGACCTTTGACCTGACAAGTACAGCGCGACAGCAAGGACACACAACTGACTCGCTACAGAGCAGTTGCCCGAGTCGTCACTGTATCGAACCGCAACAGCAACAGTAAAAGTAGTTACAACCGTATCTCTTCGTATTCCTTGTACTCTTATATATATAATCTTGTATCTCTTTGTTTTAATCAACTTACTTTGCCCTCACATACTAGCGCAAGGTGGTTCACAATCTTTCATTAAACGCTTCCGCTATTACAGTCCTACCCAGAGTTCATCCCTGTAAAGATCCTAAGGGCTTTTCTCAGCCCAACATGGTATGAGAGCAGTCAGGGAGAATTCAACTTCTACAAAAATACCGACAACATCAACAGGCATGGCTACACAAAAAGAAAGGAGCACCTCCAACGGCTCCTAGGGCACTACTTGTCAAACATTATATGTTCATATTGTGTAGGCTATAGTGGGTTTAGCCTTAGGGGGTACAGCTTTGTTAGGGTTTCCTACTTGTATCCCCCTCCTACCTAGTTTCATTCATTCTCGTTCTATTCTGGATTCTAACATGGTATCACGAGCCTAGGTTGCTACCTAGGACCGCTTTCTACTATGGGCCCACTATTCCGCTAGAAGCGCCCTCGTGCGCCCTACCTTACGTGCGCCTTCGTGCGCCTTTCTCTGCTAGTGCGCCTTCGTGCGCCCTCGTGCGCCCTCGTGCGCCCTCGTGCGCCCTCGTGCGCCTTTCTCTGCTAGTGCGCCTTCGTGCGCCTTCGTGCGCCCTCGTGAGCCCTCGTGCGCCTTCGTGCGCCCTCGTGCGCCCTCGTGCGCCCTCGTGCGCCCTCGTGCGCCCTCGTGCGCCCTCGAGCGCCCTCGTGTGCCCTCGAGCCGCCCCTGCAGGTCCGTCAGGCCCCCGAGCCGCCTCTGCAGACCCGTCAGGCCCCCCCCGAGCCGCCTCTGCAGGCCCGTCAGGCCCGAGAGCCGCCCCTGCAGACTCGTCAGGCCCGCGCGCAGCCTCTGCCCGACCGCGCGCCGCCCCTGCAGGCTCTCGCCGCCCGCCGCGTCGCCCTGCCCGCGGCGTCGCCGCCTGCCCGCGGCGTCGTCACCTGCCCGCGACGTAGCCCCTGCCCGCGGCGTCGTCGCCTGCCCGCGGCGTCGTCGCCTGCCCGCGGCGTCGTCGCCTGCCCGCGGCGTCGTCGCCTGCCTGCGGCGTCGTCGCCTGCCCGCGACATAGCCCCTGCCCGCGACGTCGTCGCCTGCCCGCGGCGTCGTCGCCTGCCCGCGGCGTCGTCGCCTGCCCGCGGCGTCGTCACCTGCTCGCCGCGTCGCCCTGCCCGCGGCGTCGCCACCTGCTCGCGGCGTCGCCCTGCTCGCGGCGTCGTCACCTGCTCGCCGCGTCGCCCTGCCCGCCGCGTCGCCCTGCTCGCGGCGTCGTCACCTGCTCGCCGCGTCGCCCTGCCCGCGGCGTCGTCACCTTCCCGCCACGTCGCCCTGCCCGCGGCGTCGCCACCTGCCCGCCGCGTCGCCCTGCTCGCCGCGTCGCCCTGACCTAATCCGCGCCTGGCCTCTGGAGCAGCCGCCCCTGCAGCAGCCGCCCCTGGCCACTGGAGCAGCCGCCACTGCAGGAGCCGCCCCTCGCCCCTGGAGCAGCCGCCCCTGCAGCAGCCGCCCCTGGCCCCTGGAGCAACCACCGCTGCAGCAGCCGCCCCTGGCCCCTGGAGCAGCCGCCACTGCAGCAGCCGCCCCTGGCACCTGGAGCAGCTGCCGTCGCGGCCCGGCCTCGCCGTGCAGCAGCTGCCGCGGAGCTCCCTGCTGCGGCCCGGCCCCGCCCTGCAGTTGTAGCGGCCCCGCTGTCGCCACCGTCTTGCGCCTGCCGCGCCGACCACTGGTGAGCATTGCCCTGCCAGCACTGCTACCGCTGCTACTGCCTTTTCTACTCCCACTGCTACTGCTCCTGCTGTTAC